CTGTGATGTTTAATTTGCAGAAATAATCTATGAAGAAACAGACCGACTAGCCCCAGGAGGTAGACCAGAGGAGACTAAAAGAGACATACAGCCAGATGACTAAGTCCTTGCTCTGTACACAGCCTTTCTGCTTCCTGCACTCCCTTCCCTCCCCAGAGGAGCCCCTTGGTGTACGCGAGTCCCCCAAGACGGAGTTCTAAGGAAGATACCGTCTCTCCGTCGTCTCAGGGCGAGTCCTAGAGTACCACTGACTCACTTCCCAACACCTCTGTCCGCTGAGTATTGGCTTTGGATTGGAAGCAACCTGGACTTGGGTTTGCTACCATCATTCCAACTTCATCTCACTAGAATTACTTTATTTTCTGGTTTGCCAGCTAGAACACGGGCCTACAAGAGAAGTATCTTGGGTTTTTTTTTCTTTTTTCTATTCTTTTTTAAATTTCTGTATGCTTCATACTTATTACGTTTTTGGCACTCAATAAATATCAGCCTTGGCTAGAGCAAACAGCTAAACAGGGTGTCCTAGGAAATTTCCCTAACTTGCTACCACTTTCATTCCTTTTGTCCCAACTGTAAAGAAATATATAACTTCAAAGAAACATAAAATGGATATAAAGAAAAAATGCCCAGCAACCCCATAATTCCAGACTCTGGGAGGCTGAGGCAAGAAGATCTCAAGTTTGACCCTGGTTAGCTCAGCAATTTAGCCCAAAAATTTAAAAAGGAGAGGCTGAGGACACAGGTTCAATGTCCAGCACAACAACAACAACAACAACAAGGAAGAAATCTATTCACCACCAAAGCTTTCTTGGGAGAGCACTGTTTTGTTTAGAAGCAATATTTACCTTAGCAAACATATAGTTAAGAATATAGATTTTGAGGGTTGAATTCCTGGTTTTGAATCATGGTTTTGCCATTTAATGGTTCAGAAACCTTGTGTTTTTAACTTTACCGGACCTTAGGACTTTCATCTCTAAAATGGTATTGGGGGGGGGGGGCAACAATATTTGCCTTGTAGAATCACTGGGCAGATTATATGAATTAACATGTGAAAATTTACTAATTCCTGACACATACAATCAGTGTTAGCTATTATTAATCCTATTATTAACCATTAAGGATAGGTGCTAAGCTCAAAGAATCAAAGTTGAACCCTGAATTCTACTTGCCAAAAGGGTAATCTCAATCACTATGGGCTTTCTGCTTTACTAAGCATCAACATGAGGTTTGAGCAGAGGCTGAACCCAAGTTGATTTCCTATGCCACTCACGAAGTGGGTAACTTTGATACTGGCAGGAGAGGGAAAAAGGGTTAATTCATATATTCCACAAATACTGACTGTGGAATGCTAGACATAACAAAAACGAGATGGCCACATCCCTTACTGAAGAGCCTGGCAAAATATTAAGAAAAGAGCTGGGCGTGGTGACACAGTTGTAATCCCAGTAATCAGGAGGCTGAGGCAGGTGGATTGCTGCAAGTTCGAGACCAGCCTAGGCTACAAAGTGAGTTCAAGGCCAACTTGGACTACATAGTGAGAACCTGTCTCTAAAAGACAAGACCTCAGAATATATATGAATGAGGGGGGAACTAGAGAGGCTGGGTCCTAAGGTCAGGCCACATTACCAGTGGGTGTAGCTCAGCAGGGAGGATCTGGGGACAGAGAAATGCTAGGGTAGGATTTGAAAGCCTCTGCTACAGGATGTGTAATTCTTCCCCTCCCCTTCTCCAGGAAATCTTCAATAAAATTTTCATTGCTCCCTAGCGAGAACCTGAAGAAAGGGAAGAGAGTAGATATTTGGGTTATAGCTGCTGGGGGAAATTTGTTATAGGAAAGAATGCCCTTTCTTACCCTTGTGTGTGCCAGTAAGAAAACATTCCAGTGCCGGGAATAGTTAATGATTACAAAAGATTCCCCTCTGTAACACGTAATGCAAGGCTCTTTACAATGAACATGAATTAAACAATATCAGTAACAACTTATTAATAAAAGAGAAGAGGCATTAGGAAACTTAGAAAGAAGAGGGGCCATAGCTAAAGCTGGGTGTCCATATGATCACTAAGCAGCCTCTCTGTGATCAATTAGTCAAGATGGTGATTCCTCAGCAACTATAATGTATTAGTTTATTACTATTGCTTTGATGATGCCGATTTTCCTAAACATAAATGTCCTAAGGTTTAGGTGTGGGGAGGGAGGTAGTCCACTGTGTTCTCACAGGTCCCGTCCTTTTTCACCCCCAGTTTCCTACGTTTGTATCATGTGACTTTTAAAAATCCAATTTAAAGAATATACAGTGAATGTATTTCTTTTAAAAAGCAGCTGCCTAAGAAGCAATCAGCCATCAACCAAAATAAAATGAAACTATCAATTTGCCTGAATTTCCAAGAGTGAAATAAACAAAGCTCTTCTGAAATTTACCCACACAAACTGAGGGGGAAAAGAGAGAAATAAATTAATCTTTTTCTTCTTCTTAGGTTTATTGTATAACCTCCAAGGTTCCTCCTTATAATGTGTATACTGATTAAAAAGATATATGGCTGTTTATTAATGTTCTCAAAGCATTATGCAAATTTATATCACCTAGGGTATATTTTGCCCTGAAGCTATATAGTAAATATGGAAGCATCGCTAAAATATGGTAACTCAAGTAGCTTGATTTTTGAATAGGATTTTGCTTTAAATCATTAAGAAGAAAATGAAGAGAGCTTGAGCGCTCAAACTTGAAATGTAAATGAGTAGTTTTCTTTTATAGGGCTTATTATCAGACGTTACTTGATATTTAAATTTAATTTGACAATGCAAGAAATGACCTTGCAGTTTTCAGTATCATTTTTTTCAATACAGCTTGTGCCCCAGATTCACTGTGATTTTTAAGCACTTTTTTCCCCCAAGACAGGGCTCTTGCTGTTGTGCAAGTTGGCCTCCAACTTGCAATTCTCCTGCCTCAGCTTGAAATAAATAAAGCGGCACCTGGCTTCTGTGTGCATTTTCAAATGACAAAGTAAAAACCAAACATGTTGAATTAGGTGAATTCATAAAAAGAGCTCACCTATCCTTTAAGGAACCATATTTTTAAGCATAAAATTAACATTGAAGGTATTAGCCAGAAATAAACTGAGACCTCTTTCAATGTATGCAGAGATGCCAGTAAAATTCCTGAAGGGCCAAATAATACAGAAAACATAATTTTGCCCTCTTGTTAAGATGAGGCATGTATTTTTTAAAAGCAGAAAAAGATCCTCTTTTCAGCTCTCAACATGGCCCCTATTTCCTATTCCCAGACAGCCGGAGAGAAATACAAAGCAGAACTGCAATCAGAGACTCAAGGTGAACCAGAGGCTTGGCCTTCTACTCTTCTATCACCAGAAAGAGAGATTTTTTTTTTTTTTTGTCTATTTCTTTTTTATTGGTACCGGGGATCGAACTCACGACTGCCTGCTTGCAAGGCAGGTGCTTATGCCGCTGAGCTAAATCCCCAGCCCCTAGAAAGAGAGATTTCAAAGGACAATAAAAAGTATGCCTATTTTAGTCAGGTACTAACTAAAACTACCTCTTTAAATATGACTGTGTTAAAATTTTCAGCACTGGTATTAGTACCCTTCCAAAGTAATAAGACCTCAGGGGGTCACAAATTTCTATCAACAAGGAATACAAATAATTTAATGTTCTTGGGTAAGTGATAAAGTCTGTGGCAGCTTTCCCTAGATTTGGGTTCTTTTACAAGGAAAATCAAATTTATAGGAGTTAAATGAGTCAAGCCAGTATATCCCAAATCTATTTTAAAACAAAAACCTATGACTGTGCTCTGTTTTCATTGGCCCACTCTCACTCCACAGAACTTTTTCTCCTTCCTTTAAATTAACCTGGGCTTGCTCTGCTGAGTGTACTTCTCTCCCTGCCTTTCATAAATGTAAAGCTTTGATACCTTAAAAGAGAGAGAGAGAAAGGAAAGAAAAAGCCAGGAAGGATGGTGCATATGTGTAATCCCAGCACTCTGAGAGGCTGAGGAAAGAGGGTCACAAATTCAAGCCCAGGCTTGATAATTTAGCAATTTAGCCAGACCTGCTCTCAAAATTAAAAGTTAAAAAAAAAAATGGGCATGTAGCTCAGTGCAAAACCTAGGTTCAAGTCCTAGTATCACCAACACAATCTGCCTGTTAACCCAGCACTTTGGTTGGCTGACATAGAAGGATGGCAAGTCTGAGCCCAACCAGGGCAACTTAGTTGACCTTGTCTCAGAACAAAAAATAAAGGGCTGGAGATGTGGCTCAGGGTGAAGGTGCTAGGTTCATTCCCCAGTAAGGGGTGGAGAGTGCTGGAGTCCTGAGAGGACCAGGAAGGGGTTTGGACATATTTTAGGTATGCTTTACTTTGGTAGGTATGAAAAACAGCAATATGTCATCTTCCAGAAATGCAATCCCCATATTAACAAGCCCCAAGAAATCAGAATTTCTGTGAGGACACAGCCTGAGCAACCATCACACTACAAGTGACCTCAGAATATTCTGGAAGCATCACTATGCATAGCACCTCAATAAGGGCAAGAAATGAAATAAAGCAGAAGCAGCAGCTTTGAGGAGGAGCAAAATGGAGGTTGTCCGATGTTTTGCACTAAAATGATAACTGAGCACTGCATCTTCAGGAGTTTTAATTTTGTGTACTGTTGAGCATTACTTTTTTTTAACTTTACTAATACCTTGTCTATGAGTAGGCAGGAAGAGAAATTTTTGAAATGGCTAAGACTTCAGAAAACCTAAATGATGTGCATGCAATAGCCTTCTCTTTTGATGCAATTCAGGCAACTCTCTTGCACGGAATCATTCCAAGCATGAAACTCTCCAACTTCTGCACCCAAAAGTGGGGGAGGCAATGCAAGGTCTTGCTGCAGCTCCCAGGTCTGCAGCACTAAGCACTGCTTTGATACAAGTGTATCTAATGTCCCCAGCACCAGGGACTTCTGGGGCGCCAGGCATCCCTCTTCACTTGCCCTGCAGCTTGCAGAGGTGGTGGTTGTGTAGAGAAGGCCTCTCCAAGCCGACTGATACCATGCTGCGTACTCCCAAGTGCTCCAGATGTCGGAACCACGGCTTCCTGGTACCAGTCAAGGGCCACGCAGGCAAGTGTCGCTGGAAGCAGTGCCTGTGCGAGAAGTGTTACCTGATCACCGAGCGCCAGAAAATCATGGCGGCGCAGAAGATGCTCAGGAAGCAGACCACCGAGGAGGAGGAGGAGGTGGCCCTGGGCGCGCAGGCGCCCCTGCCAGCCGCCAGCAAGGGCCCTGCTCTGTGCCCGCCACCTGTGCTGGTCGGGCCGGGCCCGCAGGCCCCCTGCTTCCCGATGCGGGACCCACGAGGCCCGAACCCCGGGCCCAGCGCCTTCCGGCCGGCCCTAAACAACCACGGGCACGGCCACGTGGGGCTGCCGGGCCGCTCGGCGCCCCAGCTCGGGCCTGAGGCCGCAAGCAGGCCAGGCCCTGGCCGCCCGGAGCCGCTGAAGCCGATGCCCAGCCCGCCGTTCGCCGACTTCGGTAAGCCGTCAGCCACCGTGTGGCCGTGTCCCCCCGTGCCCCGCTCCGTTACTGGCAGGCCTGCAGTCTTGCACTGGCAACATGGCGGCCCCGGCCCGTGCTGGTGGGAGTCGGCGCAGGAGGGGAAAAAGATCTTCCAAAGTCACCTTGCTTGGAGATACCTTTGTCTCATCAGGGGTTTGGGTGGGGTGCCTTGTTGCAAAAGGGAAAACGAAGTGGGAGGTGGAAAGCACTGGGTGAATGGGGGAGTGGGCTTCAGACATTTAGCAGCAGTAATTCCCTTTATCCTTTGCAAAGAGCAAAAATGGCTCCTGGTACGCCAAGCAGTGGCCCTTCCCTGGGGATTGTGCTTGGCAAACCCAGTACTACTGCGCATGCACTCCGCCTGCTTACGGCCCAGAAGACCGCCCCTCGGCGAGTCTCACAGCTCGCGCCCGCGCACCCCTTCCCGCCATTTTCTTGGGCTAGAAGTTTCCGTGTGGGGGAATTGGGTTGACTGTTACTGCGCATGTGCAACCCCTCCCCCTCAGTCAGGCTCCTCCCCTCTGCTATATTTTGACCAGTGCGCCTGTGCACCTTTTTCATTGTTCGCCTGGGTGTAGGTGTAGGTTCACCTGCTGAGCTGTTGGTGTTTCCTCCTCTCACCTTGCACACAAACGACATTATTACCTGTATTGTGTTCTTTCAGTATTAAAGTACAATTACAAGTTACCTGTTGAGTTGAGGTTTTATAAAAAGCAACTCCATTTGGGTGCAGACATATTTCTTTGGTATTGACTCAAGGGCACAGGCTGTATCGGGAGGCTGCTCACCCTTAAACCTGGACAAGTTCCTTTTTTCAGTGGTAGCCTCTTCCCTCTTCAGGCCAAGGGAATTGGTCTGGATGCTTTCTGAAGGCCATTTCTACCTCCTGAGACTTACTAAGAAAACCTAGGTTCCCCAGGGAACTAGCTGTAGGATGTCAGATGTCTCCTGGACTCTAGGAGAAGGCGACCTTTCCAAGGAAGTGGCTGCTTTTCTTTGTTTTGTCTCTCAACAAATAGGAACTGAGCACTTACAATGCCAGATACCAATGGTGTGAAGCAGTCAAGATGAGAGAGTCATAGTCCTTGAACCTCAGGGAGTTTGTTCAAAGGATCACACAAATCACTGCATACAGCTCTAATCACTGATCATTTAGTCTGAAGGTAGAGCTGAATGTGCCTGCTCCCTGACTTACCACGACGCCACCTCCTGATCGGTCCCTTGTAAACTGAAATATCCTAAGTCAAAAGTGTATTGGCTACACATAATCTACTGACTATCCTACCTTAGCAATACAGTTCACCGTACAGTAGCAGCTATTTCCCCGGGCCAGGCCCCAAGGAGCTGTGACTTGTGGCCACTGCCAAGAATCTCAAGGGAGTGTCTTATTGCATATCATAAGCCCAAGAAAAAATCACAAGTCAAAGTATGGTTTCTACTGAATCCATATAGCTTTTGCACCATCATAAAGCTGAAAAATTATTAACTCATCGCAGATCAGGGGTTGTCTGTACTCAGGATTTAAGCAGAGTGAAGTTAGAAGAAAAGCCTTCCATACTTACAAAGGCCTAGAGATGGATTCAAGTGGTTGAAGGATTAAAGACCAATGAGGTCAAAATTACAGTAAAAAGATGATTTTATAGTTGAACACATGTGATTATTTTACTGTTAGCCTTGCTGTGTTTCCCAGCCGTGCTCCTGTTGCTTGCCTCATTGCTTTCTGTCTGCAGGGCACCCTCTGAGCGTTAAATCAGACCCTGTGGTGGGAGCCGAGTACCTGGAGAGAGAACCTTCCAAGCTATACCTTGGCTACTACTCCTACTGCCAGTTTCCACTGGGCTACCAGGATGCACCCGTCACCATGCAGAAGGGCTTCCAGCATGCCCCCTGCACCAGCTACCAAGGAGGCTTGGTGAGTCCCGGCCCTCCCTCCTTTCCCAGTTCCTCCTACCCCTCTGGAGCAAGGTGTTGTCTGCTGCTCCTGCTGCCTTTGTGGCTCCCAGTCAAAGAAGTCAGTTATCACCCACCAGTGGTGTGTCTCTGGGAATCCCACGTGCAGGCAGCTGTGCATGCCTGGGCCTGGACTGAGCATGTGCTTTTCAGAGCTGTGCAAAGGCTCTGGGATCCCAGGAGTGACCTTTGCCTTTGACTTCTGGGATGCAGATGTCAGAAGGGCCTTCATCCTCTAGCACCAGAGGGGGAGTAACAGTTTCCTGGTGCTACAAAGTTCATGGTAGAGCCAAGATTAAACAGAGGTCTCCTGCCCACGGGTACAGCTCAAGACTGCAGAGGGCTTTCAGGAAGGGGTAACATTTATGCTGAGTTTCAAAAAATATGGTCAATACTGCCCAAGCATTTTTACCTTAACCTTAGGAGACACTGGTAGAAAGAATAAATGGAATTTAACCCTTTTATAAGATTACTAACTGAGGCTGGACATGGTGGCACATACCTGTAATCCTAGTACTTGACAGACTGAGGCAGGAGAATTGCTGTGCGTTCAAGACCAGTTTGGGCTACATAGTGAGTTCAAGGCCAGCCAGAACTGCACAGCAAAACCCTGTCTCAAAAAGACAAAAAAGAAAAAAATATTACTAACTGGTACTTTCCTTAATCCTGGAGTTTTGAACAACAGTGTATAAAAGGTAAGCTCACCTCTTTTTTGTGGAATATGAGGCAGGCATACGTTTGTGGCCTTGGTTACTCTTTCCAGACTAGAATGGGTTAAAAGCCCTCTCCCTTTCAGCAGCCTCTGGGGCCATCAGGACTCCAGGATGGGAGCAAGCTGGATGACCAGCATGACTTAGGCCCTGGACCTGCCAGGGCAGGTAGACACAGACAGAGCACGGTCACAGAAACAGTGACCCCCATGACGCCACTTCTTCCTCAGCACAAGGGCATCACAGTAGATATCTATCAAGGTGTTTTCCAAGGATAGAAAGAAGTGAGGAGACAGGCCCGATTGCTGTGGAAGAGGGTGAAGAAGAGACAAAACCTTGGCGTTTGAGTGTCGGAAGTCATTGAGCACAGAGTGAGAGCAGGGCGTGGGGTCAGCTGTACAGCCAGCTCAGGCCCGCAGGGCACTGGGCCTCCTTCAGCCCAGCAGCATCTCTTGTTTTAGATTTTGTACATTTTTAAAAACAAATAGAATTTTCCATCAATTCAGGGGGAAAAAATGTTTGAAGCCCTTGGTCTAGATCATTTCCAGGATCCCTGCTGACCCTTATGAGCTGTCAAAGTAGGCATTATTACCCCACTGTAATCAACAAAAAGGTTCAGAGAAGTTAAATTTTTGTCTCAGATCACAAGATTGTGAATGAGAGATTGAGACTCACATCATACATTATGTTGACCACCATTATCTAAACTCAGGTGCTTTCTGTGGCCCCAAGAACCCTCCACATGCAGAGATGGAGCAGACCTGCTTAACTTTTTTTTGTATTTAAGGAGAAAAAGAAAAAAAAAACAGAAAAAGGATACAAGTTATACAGAATTAAAAAAAATAAACAGGAAATCACTAGTTAATAGATTACATATTGTCATCTTAGAAATAGTTGTTCAAGTTACAAAATTAAATCATATAAAGTGGACATTCAAACAGTGAGACTGTAAACAGTTCTGTTCAGTGATCCAACAAAACTCAGTAATATGGTTATCTATCTTATACACTTAAATATACATGCAGTTATATCCTTTAGAGCACTTTCTTTTCCTCTCTTTTTTACAATGACAATTACACATTTTGGGTTTTATTATTATCCCACAGTTCTTATTACTTTTTTTTGCAGAGAATAAAACCAAATGTGACATAACAAAACACTCAGTCAAATCAAAAGGATGGACATAGTACATAATGTAAAAACAGAATACAAGGTGATCTGGCTCTTAACTCTTGACCACCATGGGCCGAAAAGATGTGGGCCTTGCCTCTGGCCACCCCAGTGCAGCCCAGGGAGAGCAGGGCTTCTCCAGGCTCCACACAAAGAGGGGCTGTGACCGAGTGGAGCCTGCACTACGCTGTCTGCTTGCACAGAAGCCCAAGGCCTGCTGTCCAGGGAAGGGTGCTGGTTGATAGTCCTGACAGATGGCCTCTGTTCAGAGTGCAATCGCAGGCAGTTTATTTGGGCCAAACAGCTGCCATGGACCCCAGGCAGAAGCTGTGATCTGGGATGAGACTTGGCTAAGCAGCTTGGATTAAAGTACTAATAATCCCCTCCTACCCCTTCACGTCTGGAGGGAGGATTAGGCATTTATTTGTGGCACTTCCAAACAGAAGAGCCTGTGAATTACTTTCACCCGTGTCCGGCTGTCCCCTAAGCAGGCTTCAGGCACTTCCCAAGGACTGCCGCCCTCCCGTCCTTGCCCACCTGCTGCTTCTTTCCCAGAAGGTACAAGCCTGAGCTGGATGGAGCTGGGGCCCAGGCTCACCTCATTATGGGATGCTGAGGTGCTCCTGTTGTCCTGTTCAAAGAATTGGGCAAGACAACTGGAATGTAGAAATTTTACATTTATTGATGTGAAAGTGAGAAAAAGTGTCTAGAAAGCAGACAGTGGCCACAGATCAGGGCCGTGTGACATGACCATGACTGACGGGTCACACCCACTGCCCTCGGCTTTGCAGGGCCCTAATCTCCTGCCTCAACCTCTGCTGTGTGCTGGCCTCTCATCCTGGGGAAGGTTCCCCACCCTCCTTAACCTCCCTCAGGTTCCTAGTCTGAGACAGGAAACTGCGAATCTGGGTACCTGTCTCATGAACAGGTTGAGAAAGGTATATCTGCCACTGTGCTGGCACCTCAAAGGTGCTTCATGGTGGACTTTCTTCTCCTTGTGGTCACATGAAATTAGGAAATGCTGCCTTGAGATTTTTGCACACTACCCAGAGCCTTAACACATGCACAGTGGGGCTGTAACTTGCATATCTCGCTGCCAGGCAGCCCTGATATGAATGATCAGCCAGCCAGCTTGCACCACCAATGGCACATGCAGGACTGTCTGAAAGCGTGGCTGCTGCTGTGGCTGCAGGAAAAGCGAAGTGTGTTATGACATTTTCCGCACTGCACAATTAGCCACCTTCTAATTTCTTTTAATTGGTGAAATAGATTTGTTGATTATTATAATAATTTTAATTAGTATGAAGAGTGTTAATTTTTATTTTGGGCAGAGTCAAGATTCAAATTGAAACAACTAACTAAATTTGGCCTGTTTATAGACTTTTTATGAATTTTACTAGTAAAAGTGATTGGATGCATTTGTATCACCAGTGGCACTGTCATGCATGTACCACCTGTGGTTCAGGCCTTGAAGAACAAGTTAAATATCTCACACATGGCCCCCCAGTGTAGGAGCTGTAGGTGGGGTTCCTCGATAGCCCCTGACTAAGAACACTTGGAAGAGCACTTAGCAGCATCTCGTGCAGCTGTAGTCCCTGATCGCATCTTGGGGTGTGCATGCTGAGGTCTCTGCAGAGAACCACACTAAGCATGCAGCAGGGCAGCGCACTCTACTGCCTTTCCAGTGGTGCTCTGAGTTACGCTGGGCCCTTGCTGGGCCTGGGTGCTGTGGGGTGGTGGCCTGAGCTGCCACTTACGGCAGCAGAACAGCAGGACTGCCTGAGTCACCCTGCTTGCCTAGCCTCAGAAACAGCTGAGTAGCACCCGGCTTATACTCTTCCCCAGAGGCCCCCCAAATTTCGGGCTAAAATCATTACATGGGCTGGACAAGGGATCTCTTGCATGCAAGGGTTAGGATACATTCAGACCCCTCTTCAGTGCTGTGGTCCACTGAGTGGGTTGTGAGGTCACAGATCAGGATCCGCTTCTGAGCCTTTGCTTCTGAGCAGGTATGTGGCCCTGGCCCTCCGGGTCTTCTCACCCACCCGATGGTCTGAGAGCTGATGGTCAGAGCTGTGGGAAACCATGCTTACTGCCACCAGCTCATCAGTCTGGCCACAGGGAGAAAAGAGCCTACCTCCTGTGTGGCCAGGATCTACGTAGTACATAGCTGGTCCCAGGCTTACCCAGGACATGTCTGCAGGAGTCTGGCTAACGTTTGCTGAACACCCCGCTCCTAGGGCCCAGTGCGAGCCTCCTGTGTGGCCAGCGTTTGCCTTCTCTGTTTCTATCATGTGTGCATGCAGGTGTCAGAACCAACAGGAGACTTCTGCCCAAACTACTACGTGCCGCCACCGCCGCCACCACCGCCATTGCCCCCGCAGCAGCCACAGCCCAGGGTCCTCCCTCCAGGCTTTCTCTCTGGGCTGCACCTTCTCCCACCACCTCCACCACCACCCGCTCCTTTCTCGCTGAATGTCCTGCCTGCAGGCCCTGGTAAGAGCAGGGCTTCTCCTCCAGGGAAGGGGCCCGTCTGAAATGGGTATAGAGAGAAGGGAGAAGGCTGTAGGGTGAGGCCAGGCTGCGCTGGGCCCTGGGAGAAGCTCTTCCCCACGCCCTCCCGAGCCCCCGCAAGCACGCATCCCAGGGAAGTGGGAATGGGATTTCCACCTGGGAAGACAGGCCCCACAAGGTTCCTCTGGCTGTGAAGGGCAGAGCAGCATTCGAGCACGATTCTGTGTGGCTCTGAGTCCAGTGGTCATTCTCCATCTTATGTGCACCGTGGGCAAGATGAAGAGGACACTGCCTGCAAGGCGCTGTGTGGACCAGAGGGGCCCGGCTCCTTAGCTGGCAGGACCTCTGCGCAGGGGCAGCAAAGGTGGATCCTGGAGTGGCAGCAGGAGGCACTGTGGAGAGACAGCCTACCTAAGCAGCTCTGCCTAGCAGTGCTGCACCAGGAGGCCTGAGCTCTGGGCCTCAGTCTTCTCACCCGTGGACTGGGCTGCTCACAGGATTATGGGGAGAGGACCCACTGAGCTTCTGGATGTGAGAATACCTTAGGGTGTGAGAGTCCTGTGGCTTTAAAGGTCACAGACTTTCTTCTCAGTTTTCCTGAGCTATCCTGCCTGGATGTCAGCTTCAGCAACTGCAGAAGTCACCTTGACTTACAAGGGTCCCTCCTCACATGAGATAGCACAGAATCTGAAGGTGCAAAGACATTAGTGACAGTTGGCTGTCATTTATTGCTTCACCCATCTGAGTGCTGCCAGGATGGGAACATCTCACAGGAGGGCAGGCTGATAGTCAGAGCTGTGGGAAACCATGCTTACTGCCACCAGCTCAGGAGGGGTGGACAAGAGCTGGCAGTTGAATCTGTACCATGTTTACCAGTCACCTTGCTCAGCAAAGTAAAGGGAAATTCACTCTCCATAGAGCTGGCAAGAGTGAGAAAACCTGGTAGGAAATCTGCATCTGAAAATAGGTAACTCGCCCTCTGTCTAAATCCCGCTGCCTTCTCTGTCCTTCACAGGTGACCAGGATGCAGAGGCACCCGGTGAGCCCTGCCTGCCCTCCTCTCAGGAGCAGTCCAACTAAGCACAGCTGCCCGCCTGCTGGCCTTGGGTGTCAGGGGTGGCGGCAGTGATTGTCTTGTCTGTGTTCAGTGTTGTTGTACGGGTAGGAAGGATGTGGAGAGGCATAAGTTGGGAGCTCATTCCCGTTTTGAGATTGAAGGAAGGGGAGGGGTTGAAGGGGCTGTTGGGGCGGACGGGGCGGGAGGAGGCCAGGGCTCTGAGGAGTGGGCTGGCAAAGTGCACATTTGGGAATGAATTTAACCATCCTCAGTGCTGATCAACAGAGTCACTCCAGGAGCAGTGTTTGGCTTGTTTAGGCACCACTCAGGACAGAAGGTACCATTTATTTGAGCCTTCTGCGACCTTTGCGTGTTCCCGGTGCTGAGGTGCTACTGCTATCAGGTGCAGCAGCCAAACCTGGGACACTGACAGGAGGTTCTGCAGCATCCCTGCCTTTGCCTGGCCAGGCCCTTCAGCTCTTTGCTGGATGGTGTCCTGACCACTGGAGCCGCTTCACTTACCTCCACCAAGTTTAAGCTCTGATAGGCCCCATTATTGGTTTAAAAATCTGTTCAGGTGTTATTATTTGATGTTTTTATAGTTGGAGCCCTGATGCAGTTTTCTGAGAATAGAATGGTGCAGCTGAATGGGCCGTGACATCAGGGCTTTCTTCTCTGGTAACAGTTGACTGTTGAAATAAAATGAGCAGCAGAAATCTTGGAGGAAGGTGTGTGCTCTTTAATCCTCATGGGGGACTATGTTAGGGCTGGTCTTGGAGAACCTGGTACAGGGCCTGTCACATTCCCCTTAGTTATCAGATCGGGGTCAAGCCAGGCTCGATTTCTCTATTACAACTTTTAAGAAGTGGAGGTTCTAAGAAAATCTGTTGCAGACACACAAAATATAAAGGCTTCTTTGTTTCCCTTCTCTAGCTCCTTTCATGGTCCCTACAGGGGAACATGATTTGCAAAAGCAGAACTTGGGTTCTGTTGTGCTGTTTCAGGGTCCCTGATCTCATCCCTCAGTTTCATTTGTTTCTTTATTTAAAAAGCATCTTGTGTTTTGATTGCATCCAGAACCTGGTCCTTCCCAGCTTTGCCAGAGGAGCAGGGCATTCAGTGAGAGGCAGTCCAGGAACAGAGAGTGGCAGAGGGCAGAGGGGGCCAGAGAATGCCTCCGGCGGAGCTGCAGCCTCAGCCAGTCTCTCAGAGGGCAGTGAGTGAGTCAGGTGGAGCAGAGAGGGATGGTTGCACCCGGTGGGGGCGGCAAGAAGAGCTGGGGTGACAGGGTCAAGGCTGAAGAGGTGGAGCCGGCACCAGGGGTGCAGGCTGGCCTATTTGCTATGTGCCTGGGAGACTGACACCACCCAGGTCCCTGGATAGGTGCAGGGATGGAGGGGCTCAGGGGCTGGCTGTGTTGGAATGGGGCAGTGCTGGCCCTGGGAAGGTGGCAGATGCCTCACTTACCTGTCCTGCCTGACCTGTAACACAGTGCAGTAGGCCTGGTCCAGGTGAGCTTTTTTCATTACACTTTAAGTTGCAGAAAGACTTTGCAACCAGGCTAGCTCAGTCAATATTTCCCAAAGGGATCCAAGCCCCCAGGCCTGCTGGCTGCCCACCGGGAGGCCCCGGCACAGCACAGAGGGTGCAAGAAAAGGGTGCGTCCCACTTCTGCAGTCAGGCCTGGCCTGGTGGGGCCCGCATTGCGACCCTTTCCTGCACCCGAGCTGTGGCTGTGGTTTCTTGCCCCACCAGGTTTAGGACCCATAAGCCTGGAGTCTTCCCACACGATGCAGCCTGCGCTCCTTCCCGCTCTCCAGCAGCAGTAGCAGCAGCAGCAGCAGCAGCATGGGTGCAGAGAACCGGGGCTGCTCATGGGTGGCCTGCTGCTCAGAGAACCAGGACTGCATCTTTAGCAGGGATGCGCTCGCCTGCTGCCCGGCGTCTTCCCTGGCCCGGCGGATTCTCCAAGAGGTAGAATTTGGCAGAAAGGCGCAGTGGCAGTATGGCTCATCCTAAAGGGTTGAACTTGGGCTCCGGGCCAGAGAACATTCTGGAAGGCGGCAGGAAACCCGTGTAGTCTCCTGGCCCCACGGAAGCGTTGGCGCTCTCAGGGCGCAGCCCATAGAGGGCGCACTGCCGCCGCTGGAGCGGGGCCTGTTGCCTAGCAACCGGATTCCTAGGTGACTTACCCCTACCACGGGGTCCTTCACACCTCCCGACCCCGCTGGACACAGGGAGATGAGGGGGGCCCTCCGGGAAATCCACACGGCCATGCTCAGTGATCGCTAACCTCTTCAGTCATCTTCACAAGCCCTTGCTGTGCCTGGGATACCCTCTTTGTCTTCACACCCTGATCCCAGCAAGCCCGGGGGCCCACCGCTCACCCCGCTTCCCTTCCTGTCTTTGAGCTGCACCTTGCCATCCCCCGGCGTCTTTGCGGACTTAGGAAACCAGTGGTGAATCCCCACCCGGAACCTCTGCAGGCCTGCCAGTCCTCTGCCGCCCTCTGCCACTTGGTGGGTTTCCCGTCCACAAGGTTGTGAGCTTCCTGGCAGGAGTGGTCGGTCTCGTTCATTCATCCCTGAGTCCCCAGCTCCCAGGATGAGGCTTGGTGTTGGTCAGGGCGGGGGCTATGGGGTGCCTCCTGCGAATAAGTGGGTGCGCTAAGGTGCATCTGGTGGTCTCTTGGTGCAGAGCTGAGCTGTCCTGCTCTGTAGCACACTTTGCCGTGCACCTTTCTCCTGCCGACACCTCATGCAGGATTGGTCAGCGCTCGGTGTGATTACATGGTGTGCGAAGCACTCTGCCCCTTCCCTTTTGTCCCTCAACTCAACCCTGGTAAAAGTTTCTTTTTCTTTTCTTTCCTTTTTTTTTTTTTTAAAGAAATGGAAGCATACTGAAGGATAGTGGTTTTTCTGAGTCATACAGTTTTTAAGTGGCAGAGCCCCAGAAAGAACAAAAGTGTGCTTCAGGGTGGGTGCAGTTTTCAATGTTCATTTTCTCCTAAATTGCCATCTTGAGATTTTTTAAGCACAAAGCGCGCAATGGCAACCTAGTTCCTGGCTCATCCTAGTACACCACAGGGAGAGTGGCCTCAGTGCACGATGCCCACCCCACTGACCATAGCACACAGCACCTCGCAAGAGAACCCTACAGCTTGGTGCGGGAAGTTTATGTGAGGCTCTCATGGTCCCTGGTGGGGTTCTCCATGAGCTCCATCTCATGAGCTGAGATTGGCAGGCTGGTTTTGTACCAAGGCTGGAGCAAGGAGGAGCAGTGTCTTCTGAGGCCACCACACCTCTGGGTTGTGGTCTCCTACACTGCCCTGGAGAAGCCTTCCCGCCACAATGTTCCCAAGTGCTTTTTGAAGGTTACAAATGTGCCCGGGGCCTAGGAGAGGGGATGACCTCTTCTCATCTGCAGCCTGTGGGTTTTCACAGCTCCTCCTGCCCCTGGCACTGTGGTGTTGGTAGCCAGTGCCTAGACCCCTCTTACAGGGAGCATCTTACAGGCCTAGAGTGTACCTGGGCTCCTCCTTGGCCAGGGCCCAGCGACTTGGGAGACCCTGCTCCTCCTTGCCTCTTCCCAGCTGTTGTGCTCTGCAACAAGTCGTGTAACCTCTCCACGCCCTGCTCTGTCCTCTGGTATCACCGGGCAGGGCCGTACCCATGCAGCAGCTTCTGTGTAAACATTTCCTCCATGCTACCTCCCAGCGCTCAGGTGTAATAACACCTGTGTCATGGGTAGATGAAGGCAGCCTCCTTTTGGAGACCATATCAGGAGGCTGCGTCAAAGGCCCTCAGCTGAAGTGCGTTTTTACTTCCCAAATGCCAGGGGCTGTTGAGTGCTTGTCACAAGTTCTGTGACTTGTCAGTGACCCCTCAACACAGGCATCCTAATACTTCATTTTACAGAGAGCAAAACTGAGGCCTACAAAGCTGAGTCCTTCCCCTCAGTCCAGCTGGTTGGTCAGTGGCCAAGTTGGGTGAAATTCTACTTCCACCAAGTCCAGCGCCAGGTTCTTAACCACACCACGCTCTCCTCAGAGAGGAGGACTGGTGAGCCTTCAGCCATGGTGCACCCGCACCCACCCCTGCCCCGGCCCCTCCAGGCTGAGCACTTGCAGCCCACCCAGACGCTGGGTTTCCACGGCTGCAGACAGGCTTCCCACAAAGAACAAGTAGCTAAAGTGTTACATAAGGAATAAAGTGATCTGTAAAAGATTGTCTCAAACTCTTTCATTCCATGTTGCAAATGATAAAGAAGTATGATGGTGACTTTTTAAATAATAAGTATGACAGTGTATTAAAATCTAAGCCTAAATTCTTATTTTTAAGTTTTTTCCCTTCTGCTTACATTTAAAAATTTTTTATTGGTATATTTTATATAACATATACATATGTAACATTTGTCAGAGGGAATTCATACCTATATATGATGCATCTTGCGTCTTCTTTCCTCCATTTCCCTCCCCTTCCTTCAACTCCTTTTTCCCTCTTTATTGCACAAAAGCGTCGTACCCATTATTTCCTTCTTTGTGTGTGTGTGTGTGTGTGTTAAGACAGGTCTCACTTTATAGTTCAGCCTGGCCTTGAACTCACAGCAATCCTCCTGCCTCAGCCTTCTGAGTCTAGGGATTACAGGCAGGCATCACTACGCCTGCTCTCTTTTTTTTTTCTTATCCCATTCTTCCTTCCCCTTGTTCCCTTTCCCATTTGAATATTTTCTCTCTATTTCCCAACACACATTATACATTTTGCTCCTTATTTGCAATTTTGCTTTCTCACACCAGAGAAACAATGCAGTTTTTATATATGTGTGATTTATTCACTTAACTATATGATCTCAAGTATGCTTTCAATTACCTAGAAATTACCTAGCGTATCCTTCTTTAGAGCAGAGCAGTATTCTGTTGCATTAAAAAAGCAGTAAAATCCCACATCTTCTTTATCCATTCATTGATTGAGCATTTAGGTTGTTTCCAAGATTTAGCTATTACAAACTGTGCTACTATGCACATATATTGTCTGCTATGATGCTTTTAATTTTGAGGGGAAGCTACCAAGAAGGGAAATAGCTTGGTCCAATTGAAACCTCTAGTTTTAGATTTTTAAGGAATTGCCACACTTATTTCCACAGAGATCGCACCAGTCTACACTCCTGCCAGCAGTGGAGAGCAGTTCCTTTTCCCCACAGCCCCACGGTACTTTTCACCAGCTGGTTTCTTGTTGATAGCCATTCTTTCTGGAGTGAGATGGACTCTCAGTGTTGTTTTAATTTGCGTTTCTTGAATGATCAGTGATGTTGAATGTTTCTTCAAATACCTATTTACCACTTCTACTTCTTCCTCTGTGAAGTGCCTATTCATCTAAGATGCCTACTTTTGGACTGAACTTTTTTTGAGTTTTTTATATGTTCTAGATATTAGTCCTTTGTCTGGGGAACAGCTGGCAATTTTCCCCACTCTGTGGGTTGTTCTGTCACTCTGTTGTTGATTTCATTTGCTGTACGAAAACTTTTTAATAAGGGCAATCCTTTTTGGTTTTTGGTATCTCATTTCTCCATCAATTTTTAAAGACAGTTTTGCAGAGTACAATACTTTGGGATGGAGGTTGTTTTGTTTTAGGGCTTGAAATACTTCACTCCAAGGTATCCTTGATTTGAAGTAATATTCTGTTCTTTTGTTGAATTTCTGGAATCTTG